ACAAGTGCATCGCTTCTAGTAACAAGTGCCTTACTAGTAGTAACAAGTGCCATACTAGTAGTAACAAGGACGCTATGAGAAACAATAAGCTACTAGGTACTCTTTTGTTGCTTTCAACCGTACAATGGTACGGTCCGGCAGGCCACAGGCTCGGTGATGTGCATCGATCAGCCAGGAGCCAAGCGGAGCCGAATAGAGAGATGTGGATGTGTTCGACCAAAGAATTTCGTTAACTAGAAGCACTTGTTACTACTAGCTTCTTGTTACTACTAGTAAGGCACCTGTTACTACTAGCGTGGCACTTGTTCCTAGTAGCTTATTGTTTCTATTTTTGATTTGTGTTTCTAATAGCTTCTTCTTACTACTAGTAAGGCCCTTGCTCCTAGTAGCGATGCACTTGTTCCTAGTAGCTTGTTGTAGCAAACACCTGGCGTATTATGTTGTGTTTTTTTTGAAAGCTTTTACGTCACTATATGTTTCACTATGTTCCGCTTGTCAGATCTCGAGTGTCGAAAGAAGCTTTGAAGGACCTGTCAGAATTGATCTTAGACAGGGAGAGAGGCGCATCATTTCCGAACACTTGCGTCACCATGCAAATGCCCCGAATCAGACCGATGTCAAACCGCAGATAGTTGCAGCTGACGTTTACAAGAAGAGTTACGTCTTGAAGACAACACTACATGTGAGGAACTCGTGTCATGGCTGCGAAAGCATTTCCTCATGTGTTTCATCATGCGCGAAGACATTTTGCGAAGGCCGTGTTTTTGATGCATGCGGTTTGTAGAATGAAGCTAACACAATATAACTCGCAAAGCCTTTCGCAGACAACATACATACAACATCATGCAGCACCCTCGCGTAGGCAAATTCGATTGGGGAGAGAGATTGGCGAAAGCTTCGCGGAGGTATGGGTACCACAAAATGCAGAAAACACGCGGCTCAATTGGTGACTAAGGTTCGATACCGAACTGGAGAGTCTGGTGCTGTATGCTCAGGCCAGCCCAATTGACCGGTTCCCATATGTTTCAGATGGAAAACCCAGGCACTGGAAACTTCTGTTAAACTAGTTCAAGGCGGAACACAGTGCACCGTACAGTGACATCCACAGACCGTAGCTATTAGTTTCTAATAGCTTCTTGTTACTACTAGTAAGGCACTTGTTACTAGAAGCGATGCACTTGTTTCTAATAGCTTATTGTTACTGCTAGTGAGCAACACCGACACATCCGGCATCCAGGCGCATGGCGTTCTTCGTGGCTGGGATCTTCGTGGCCCCGATGCCTGGGCGCTCAATATTCCGCGCCTTGGCTGAACGCGATCCCGGTGGAAACCCGAAACGCCGATCTGAAAACATTTAGAACTTAACAAATGCCGATCTGAAAAGCACTTAAACATACTTAAACTCTATAAATGGGCGGGTGTTCGTTTTGTGTCACATCGTTTGCTGCGACGTTTGTGTCGCATTGGAACTATAGTGGCTTGCGATATTGAAGACACTGTAACTAAAGCATATCATGTTGTCAGGGTCCAAAGAAGGCCCGCTGTTAGGGAGGCCATCGCGTCGTATATCCGGTTTTTCACTCTCACGGTCGAAGGTCGTGAGAAGACTGTCACGGTCGTACGGAGTCGTCGAAACACGACTGTGCCCACGCCTTCGAGGTCATGGCTGGGTGTACCGACAGCACTGGCCACCGAGCGTTTTAGCATCACGGTGGGCACTGCAGGCGAGAATGAGCTTTGGTCGGTCTCAGCACCGGTTTCTATCGTACTTGTGTTTAGCGAGGGAAGCTCTATTCAGAACGATGTCCGTGACCCCGTACGACATCACGATTCCAAGCTGCCTGCTTTTCCGCAGCCCATTTTGGCGCAAGTAAGAAAGGTTGGTGGTGAAAAGCGGGATCATTTTTGCCGGCTTTGGACATGGCCCAGATTCTCGACTGGTAGAATGGATCGACACGGAGCATTTTTTGAAGGGCTCAGGAGAGAGTCAACATGTCCTGTTGTCCAATGCTCTTGATGTGTTTTACAAAAGGTGTCACTTTTGCAACGAATTTTGGTGCTTGAGTGGATATAGAGATTTTTAGGGTTGAGGTGAGGGAAGGCTGAACTGAGGAGTGCATGATCTATAAACTAAGGATGTATGTGGTGAAGCGTGATGGCAGCCAGCAAGAGGTGAAGTTTGACGCGATCACTCGCCGCTTGCGTCCTCTCTGTGAGGGGTTGGACACCACCTATGTAGACCCAGTGCCAGTGACCAAGAAGGTCATCGAGGGTTTCTACAATGGCATTGCCACTTCAGAGATTGACACCTTGGCAGCAGAGACGTTTCTTGGCGGGTGAAACAATCGGCAAAGTTTAACTATCAGCCTACTTTGTGGTACATCACGTATCAGCAGGTTCCACTTTTTTTGGCTTTGCACAGTCAGCCATAATTTGCATCATATATTATAGGTTTTGTTTGTTGTGCCTGCATTGCGTAGCGGTTGTCGGGCCCTCGGCTGCTCTTTGGAAGAGGGTCGTCCAACTGTCTAGGTGTAAGCCTGTTAACTTGGTTTCCCTCAAAGGGCCGTCCCTATGCACCCCCAGACTCATGCTTTGGGCAGTGCAACCCCTTTGATCACAGAATTGTGAAAGAGAAAGAATGAGATCTTTCTTACTTTGCTGAACAATAGGTGGGGCCATCGCTAGTGGGTTGGATGCTATCGCTAGTAGGTTGGAGGCAATCGCAACCAGAGACTGCCTGAAGGTGTGCTTACATGTCTCAGAAGCATCCGGACTTCTCCATCTTAGCTGCGCGCATTGCGATCTCGAACTTGCATAAGAACACTTCAATTTGCTCCAGCAAGTTTTTCAAGTTAAAACAGGACACCCCAGCCTGCACTTGAGTTCCGCTTTTCTAGAAGAGGTCGCGAGGAACATCTCTTGTAAGGAACACCTCTGACTCCTTTGTTGAGACGTGCAAGCTCTTGCATGGATTCACTGACGAACAAGGAAGGCCGGCTGCGCTCATGGGAGATGAAGTCTATCACTTCGTTCAGGCCGACTTGGGAGCCGAGGAGAAAGTGAAAGAAAGTGAAAGAGAGAGAGATAGAACAGTAGTAGCACTGCGTCGTTACAGAGGTGACGAACAAAGTTTGGAATGGGGAGCGAAGCAACCAAGGCAAGTGAGGTGTACAGGTGTTCTTGGAGTGGTGCCACAAAGCCTTGCAGTTGGAAACTGCAACCTTGCCTTCAAAAGTTTGGCCGTTGTTTAAGCTGTTGGAAGATTCAACTTGACACAGTTGAATTAGTTGAATATATGGAGTATATGTGATGCATATGGATAATCAAGAATGTAATGAATCAATCTATAGCAACCCGCCATTAGACTCAATAAATGATGCACAGATGTCCAGTCTCCCAGTCTCTCGGGGTATCTCGACGGAGGCCAATGGGAAGAGACTGGATGAGGCCATTGACTATAAGCGGGATTTGGGTTACGACTACTTTGGCTTCAAGACTTTGGAGAAATCCTACTTGTTGCGAGTGCACGGGAAGGTGGTCGAACGCCCACAGCACCTGCTGATGCGCTGTGTTTGTGAGATTCACTGCGGAGACTTGGAGGCTGCGCTGGAAAGCTATGAGTTGAAGCCTGGAGAAAGCTATCAGTTTCATCAGTTTCCCAAGCAAACGCTGTGACGTGCGACGTGTTCTTTGTCTTCTTGTCCTTGTTTTGCTGACCGTGGCGTGTTTTTGGCAATCTCCAGCTTTTAAGCCTGCAAGTCTAAGGATGTCACAGAAGTTCTTCACTCATGCAACGCCCACGCTCTTCAATGCTGGCACTCCGACCCCCCAGATGTCTTCATGCTTCTTACTCACCATGAAAGAAGATTCAATTGAGGGGATCTACGACACATTAAAGCGATGTGCTTTGATCTCCAAGTCTGCAGGCGAGGAAAGGAAGCTAAACAAAGCTAAACACCTGTCAGGTGTCCAGATCTTGTCAGCATCCATTTTTGGTTGATCGGGATCGAGATCGACGTGTTTCGTCCGGTGCACTTGTTACTAGTAGCGTCCTTGTTCCTACTAGTAAGGCACTTGTTACTAGTAGCGATGCACTTGTTACTAGTAGCTACTTGCTTCTAGTAGGGATGCCAGGAGCCCCTAGTAGCGTCCGATCGCTGCTTTTTGTTTTCAGGTGGCATCGGAGTGGCGATCAGCAACGTGCGCGCCAGTGGCTCGTACATCCGTGGGACCAACGGCTACAGCAACGGCCTGGTGCCCATGCTGAGGAACTTCAACGAGACCGCACGCTACGTGGATCAGGACGGAATGACAGAATCTTCTCGAAGACAAAGTTAAACAAGGATGTTAACAAGGATGTTACTTTTTTTTCATGCAAAGTTAAAAGGAAAAACTAGTCCAAAATGTTGGGTCTCTCAGACCGACTCTGCTTTTCAGGGCGGTGGCAAGAGGAAGGGCTCCTTCGCCATGTACTTGGAGCCTTGGCAGTAACTACCTACGAAGCTCCAAGGAAGCGAATTCGTTCTAAATGGATTCAGACGCTTTTAGCATGAAAGCTTTGAGGAGCCTTGGCATCCAGATGTTTATGACTTCATCGAGCTCCGCAAGAATCATGGCAAGGACTGGCTTGCTTGATCACAAGAATCAAGAAGAGTCTTTGGATTCCAAGTCTTTGTGAAGGAGGAGCAGCGTGCACGTGATCTCTTTTTGGCACTGTGGATTCCAGATCTCTTCATGAAGCGTGTGAAGGCCAACCAGGACTGGACCCTTTTCTGTCCCAACGAGGCCTACGATCCCAACACCGGCAAAGGCCAGCTCAGATCGCTTCACAGTTTACAGCACTTTCATCGCTGGTGGGAGCAGAGTTGTAGGGGCTGGAGCACCTGGATCGTAGACCGAGCCTGATTCGGTTAGTCGACAAAGGATATTCTGAGTATGATTCCCATTTGTGCTTGCCTTGGGAGACACACAGCCCTTCCCTATGGTGGTTGTCCTGTAGACCTGGATCAGAGTCTTGAAGCAATGTGACTTTGTTTAGTGTACCCTCCATTTGAGGTGAAATGAAGAGGAGACTTTAACTTGAAGGGTAGTGCTTTGAGATATGATATATCGAAGCGCAGACGGATCAAGTCTGTACTGGATGCCCCTTGATTCAGTCATCGGGGTTTGTGTCAGTTCGCACCAGCTGTGCCACTTCACAAGTTGGTCACACCAGAGCAGCAGGCACAAACCCAACGTAATTTTGCACAAACGCATCGTTGGTACACCCCAGCACATCTGGCGCACACGTGCTCGCAGACACGCTTTCCTGCCAAGATATTGAACCTTGTCGACATAGCGGATAATCAATGTGTATATATTTATATATGTCATTTGTTGTTAAACGAGATGTTTTACACAAGTGATCCCAGCAGAGGTCGATGATCATATGGATCAATGAGATCATGGTTGATCTTCCAAGGTGAATTGTCGGAGAGACGCCAATCCCAAAAACAAAAGGATCGCATCGAGTGCAATATATAAGTCTAAATTTTCTGTGCAGTTGCATCATATGTGTCACCCGCAGGGTACCCTTTTGCGAGCTCAAAATCAATTTGGCATCGGAGCTTCGGTTTCGATCCGGCACCCGCCATTGGCCTTCCGTGCTGTCCCTGGCAGCCGCCTGACACGACCTCAGGCTCCTCTTGTCCACCACGACCTTCGTGCCAGGACACTCTTGGTTGGCTGCGCTCCTTTGGATCCTCCTTTGGGTAAGTCGCAGCTGGGAAGGCTATTCCGGCCTGGAGGCAGACCATCCTGGTCCTGCCGGTTTCACTGAATTCGCCGATTACCAGGTGATCTCCGTGAAGACCTCCCGAGACATCCTCAATTACACGACCCTGGACTTTGAGGTCCCCGTCTTCACGCACCTGGCATCGATCCTGGGCACAGAGAAGAAGCAGATCGCTACTGCGCCTCCATTTTGCTTTGCCCCTTCGCCTTCCTCGATGGCGACTCCGCAGATCCCGGTCGGTGGAATCCCTCTTGGGAGTTCTGCAAGGACATACCGCCAGGCTGGGCTCCAGGCATTGCGGACTACCCTTTGTCCCAGTACCTGCAGGACAAGCTCAAAAGCTCGCTATGAACATGAGGCTCATTCGACCTGACGGTCGATACGATGTGGGCAACGACGCGCTCGTCCGCCTGAGTGTGGACCAAGTGATGGACCCTATGGATCCCACCGGACAGACTGTCCTTCAACACGCCATCCCCTCAGGCGTGCAAGCACTGGCCCACCAGTTGAGAGACGCCTTCGGCATGAGCGAGCAAGAGTTGACCACCACGGCCTTGACTGCCTTCTTCGAGTACCGGCGCACCAAGCAAAGCCTGCAGGAATACGCCTCTGAATGGGACCTTCGCTATGATGAGGCTCAGACAAGAGCCGGCCTGGACATCAACCCAGTCGCCAAGACATATTCTGGTTTCGTGGATCTGGCCTTCCGAACAAGTTCATTGAAGATGTGAAACTTCAGATCCATGGAGATCTGTCTCGATTCCACGAGGCCAAGAGATTGGCACTTTGCCTCAGCCAACGTGGAGAGGAAGCCCAAGCGCATCGATCAGTGCGCATTTGGCGCTGTTGATGAGAAGCGCACTCCCGTCCTGAAGGCCACGGGCTTGGAGGCCTATAACCTCCGTCTCAAGATGGTGCTCAAACGCTGCAATGGCCATCACGGCACAGCACATGCTTCCCTTCAAGGACAGCATCTTGGCATGAATCGCACTGCTATGGCTGCGGTATGTGCATGTGTCAAGCTCTACTACAAGATTTCTTGCATCATCTGCAGCCCAAAGGTCTTCTTCGAACACGTCATCATGACGCATGGATGATGCAGCACACCTACTATGCATGTTAAAGATGCAAGTTTGGTCGAGCCGCTACTGCTGATATGGAGCACACCTTCATTCCAGGAGAATGTCGCTATGGCAGAGTTCCAAAATCAAAGACGGATGCTCCAGTGATGACTCCATGGAGTGAATTCCAACGTGCAGCCAATGGACACAAAGGTCTATCAGAAGTGAAGCTCACCAGCCCTGTCGGCTACAAGAACTCACCAAGTGAAGCCGTCTACATCAAGCACCTACTCACCACGATCGTTGAGTTGAGCATGAATGTCTTTGAGGAAGCAGGAGGAAAAGAATTCTACCACTGGATCAAGGATCCAATTCTTCTCTCCAATGCTCGATCTTGCTTGAAGAACTTCCTCTACATCCACGGCATCCACGTCATTTTCTCAAAGGCTTTTCCTGAGCCTGAATTGTCAGCCTCGTCAGCACCTTTGAGACTGATCTTCCGGGGCGAATACAAGAACTGGAAGATGTTCGCTTTGGAGGACCTTCGTGAGATGTCACCCTCACAACAGAGAGAGCAGATCGAGGAGGAGAACTGGATGATCACCTTCTTCGGCAGTGCTGAAGCACCTCATGCCAGCAAGGCACCTGGCACACCTGCACCAAGTACACCAAGACCAGGCACTCCAGTGCCTGGCACACCTGCACCAAGTACACCGCGGCCATCGGCGTCACTCGCCCCCATTTTGGAGCCTTCATCGTCCACCACGGCTGAACCTCATGCAGCACCTCCAGAGGCTGATCCGGCTGGAGGAGAGTCGGTGATGCCAGGGGCTCCTTATGAAGGCATAGATGCACACATGCCTCAGATCCGTACGATGAAGCCGCTCTACAGTTTGAAAAAGGTCCTGCAGAAGCTTCCCCAGATTGTGAAGAGTCAACCAGCCACTACAAAACGTTTACTTCTTGGACTACATGAGAAGCTCTGGCATGCTACCGCGAGAGACTTCGGCAACTTGCTACTTCGAGCAGGGATGCCTCCAGAAGTGGTTGAATTGGCCGCAGAAGCTGTAGCATCTTGCAGCATTTGCAGGAAATATTCACGCCTGCCATCGAAGCCACGATCCAAGGTTCATCTGGCTTCTCATTTTGGTGATGAGGTAGAACTTGACATTTTCTACCTGTGGAGCAAGTTGTTTGTGATCATGGTTGATGTGGCCACAAGATACAAGGTTGTCTTCCACACCAACTCCCGTGAAGCCTCCGACATCATGCAGGGCATGCTCACCAACTGGATCAGGTTCTTTGGTCCTATGAAGGCTTTGACCAGCGATCAAGAGACTTCCATCGTGAAGCCCCACACTGGTGATGAGTTTGAGAGACTTGGCATTGATCGCAATCCAAAAGGCACCACAAGTGGCTCAGCTGGATCCCAACACACCGGCGCGGGCCTTATCGAAAGGCATGTCGCTTTGGTCAAGCTCACCATGCAGAAGATCAAGGCTGAGGTCGATCGACAAGGCCTCATTTGTGAAGATCAGGAGATCGGCATGGAGGCCGCTATGTCTCACAACCTGTGCCTCACCTACGGTGGTTACACGCCGGCAATGGCAGTTTTCGGTGTCATTCCAAGAGGTCTGTTCGAGTTTGAGGCAGAGACGTTGACAGCTGTTCAAGGAGCACTTGACAGAGATGTTACGGTCTTCGAGTCTGCAATGCGGCTACGTCAGATCTCTTTGATTGCCATCCAGCAGGCTATTGCAGAAGACCGCGTCGCACGAGCAAGTCGCTCACGTCCTCAGAAAGTTGACCTGGCAGAGATGACACCTGGAACCTCTCAGGTGGAGATTTATTCAGATGGTTGTTGGCGTGGACCAGCTGTTCTATTAGAAGCCACTGCTGTTGTCAAGCACCAAGGAAAACCCTACCTCATGCCATTGCGCTTCATTCGCTCGTTCCGTGGAGCCTTCTTCAATCTAGACTCCAACTCTGAGGAGCTCTATGGCATGATGCGCATGGTGGAGCAAAGTCAGCAGTACAAGCAGTTCTTCCTGGGCCACCGTTTGACTATGGAAGGAGGCAATCATGTCTTCAAGCTCATTCCAGTCCATCGCTCAGAAGAACAAGAGAAGATGATTCAAGCTTTCAATATCTGGTCTCAATGGCTGAAGCATCCAATACATGGAGTTCTCTTCGGCCAAGCTTTGCACACTCTTCAACCGCCACAGGGCACTCGTGGCACAGTGCTTGTCTGGCTGAAGAATACCTCCGACTATGTGAAGATCTACAAGGACAACGACCAGCCCATGAAGCTGAAGAAAGAATACAAGAACTATTGGGACTCTATGTGCACGATCTACTTTGTGTACTTCCCTCTCGCACTACAAGAGCCAAGTTCCACTCCAGCTTCTACCTCATCTTCTGCAACACCGGCACCTGTGACTACTGAGGATCAAAGGCCAGAAGAAGAGCCCATGGAAGTTGAGTCCTCTTTGCCAACAGTTCCATCCAAGAGGTATGAGCCTGAGACTCGCTCACCTGCTCTGATCCCAGAGAAGAAGCCACGCTACTTTGAAGATGGAACCTTTGCCAGCTATGACACCCTACCAGACTTTGCACACACTCCAATGGATGTTGGACCGCAAGAAGGTTCAAAGAGTGCACGCTCAAGATTTCTGGGCAGCAACCATGGAAGTGCCGAAGTGGTTCAACAATATGACTTTGATGGACATCACCACGCACTTCCACAGTCGAGCAGATGCAGTTCGTGAACGACATGCAAATTTCTTGGTTCATCAACCTGGCACTCGCCTTCGGCATGTCTATGTGACCCTGAACCAAGGCGGAAGCTACCTTTCTCTTTCAGAAGAAATGGTGATCAAAGAAGATGATTTGGCACCAATATACTTTGGTTGAGGAGGCTGATGAGAAGGAGCTGCGCCAATTCGTTGATGAAAAGGCCTTCACCAACGTTTTACTGTCTGACATCATCGACGACCCCAACGTCGTGATTATCGATGGCATTTGGGTACGTTGCTGGAAGATCAAGTTGGGCAAGAAGATTGTGAAGTCTCGCATGTGCGCTAGAGGTTGTTTTGACCCACAGCGCATGGAGCTCGCCACACGAAGCACTACGGCATCCCGGCTGAGTCAGAGAATCCTCATGTCCACTGCCGCCGTGATGCATGAAGAACCAGAAAGCTGGGATGTGTCTGGGGCCTTCTTGAAAGGCCTGAGCTTCGATCGAATTCGAGAACTACTGTTGAAGCAGGGCATCAAGACACCAGTGAGATCGGTTGTGGTTGTGCCACCTCCTAACTGCTGGCGACATTTGGCAAAGGCTGATCCCTCCTTTGCCCTCGAGCCTTGGGAGATTCCTCAATATGGCCTGAAGTGTTTGAAGCCTGTGTATGGCCTCAACGACGCTCCAGTGGCATGGCAGCTCAGTTTGGGTGAGTTTCTCAAGAAGCAGAAAGGAGTTGCATCTCACCTGCATGGATGACAGCTTCTACAGCTGGAAGGATGTCAAAAGGACACCCTCGCTTCAGGCGGTTTTGACGACCCATGTGGATGACCTTGCAGTTGTTGGCAAGACTGAGTTCAAGGAGCGCCTGTACTCAGAAATGTGCAAGGAGTTTGGCAAGATCGCAAAGGAGAAGCTTCCCTTCTCTCATTGCGGCTGTCGCTACACCCGCACGAGCACCGGTCTCAAGATGGACCAGAGTGATTTCGCCTCCCGTCTCCAACCTGCTCCTGAACCTCAAGGTCCTGATGATCGACCGCTGACACCTGCTGAAGTGACCCAACTGAGGTCGGTGATTGGCGGCCTCATGTGGCTATGCTCGACTCGCCTTGACTTGGTGGCCGACACCGGAGTTCTGCAGTCTTCAGTTCCGAATGCTCAGGTGAAGCATTTGCGAATGGCCAACCAAGCGGTAAAGAAGTTTTGTACCCAGGACAAGCTGGACCTTGGTCTACACTTCAAGTTTTTCGAACCTGGCACCAAGCTGCGAATTCAATGCTTTCATGACGCCGCATCGGCGACAAAGGGCAAGTCCTACGCCCAAGAGGGCATCCTGGTCCTGCTGATGCCTGAGCTTTGCCCTACTTTGCTGAGGCAAGATGAAGTGGATTGCAGCTCAGAGGATGCCATCAAGCTTTGTGGTTTTGGTCACGTTTTGTTTGCCCATGGTGGTAAGAGTAAGAGGGTATCATATTCCACCTCCCATGCGGAAACCCTTTCAGCCGTAAACGGTTTAGAAGCCACCTCAATGGTCTCAACTCGATTGACCGAGCTTTGGATCCAAGAGCCAGCGCCCTCACTCAAGCTGCTCACGGAGTGCCAGGAGGGTGGCTCAAATTTGTTTCCTGTGGATAGTGCCACCGACTGCCGAGATCTCTTCGAGCTCTCCACAGGAGGAAAAGGGATTCCTCAGGATCGGTTGCAGCGCCTCTACGTCCTGGCGATCAAGGAGGCAAGGGTTTCGGCTGGTGCCAACGGCATGGATGCTTGCTGATGGATTGACAAAGCCTATGCTTTCAGTGGTGATGATGAAGTTGTTGAGTTCGGGTTTTGTGGGGGTCCAGAACACAGGAGATCACCACATCCTTCTTCGTCGGCTGCCGACCTTGGCTGAGTTGAAGGAAGAAGATCTTCACAAGAGTGATCAAGAGATCAAGAAAGAGGTGAACCAGAAAGAGAGAAGGGCATCTATGATGGTGCTTGCCGGATTCACGGCCTATCCACGCTTGATCATGGGAGCCATGATGATGAATGTGGCCGCAGCGCAACCAGATGGAGAAAAGATGAAGGAAGACCAATGGAGCCTGGGTGATTTCTACATGCTGATGCTCATTTTCTTCAGCTACCTCACTCTTCGGTTCCTGGAATGGCTTGCGACATGTGCCCTGTCACCTCCAAGAAAGAAGAAGAAGAAAGACTACGTCGACAGTGACAGCCAAGAAGGAGAAGTTGATTGTCGCGAGACGACACCAGTGAGCGAGGCCAGATCGAAGGTAAGACCATCGATCTCACCAGATTTGAGGACTGTGACCCGACGGCTGAATTTAGAGCCTGAGCAGTCCATGTATGAAGACCAGCTTTGGTTCACACCGTCTGGCGAATGCTTCCACCGACGAAGCGACAGCAGTGGGCTTAAGAATAGCAGGTCAAAGATGGTCAAGAGGCGATGCATGAACTGTATGCCCACAACAAAAGCCCAAAGCAGTAGCGGAGTCTAAATTTTCTGTGCAGTTGCATCATATGTGTCACCCGCAGGGTACCCTTTTGCGAGCTCAAAATCTATATATATATATATATTGCCCGCCGGGTTCACTTAAGATAGCGAAGGTTGTCTCACTCGCCTGCTTCAGACAGTGAGAGCTTCTGCTCACTGTGTGTAGAGCTTTTGTTTACGCTCATTCACATCTTTTGAAGGTGTCCGAAGCCACCACTGGTACACATAGCACCACAACAAGCCATTGACTTGTCCTTCTTTGTTTCGTGCAGTGATTGGCTTCCGCGCCCAACGCTCTACATCAGCCCACATTTGATCCACAAGGCCAGTATTGACCTGGATCTCGCTATCCTGCAACCTTTGTTTTGTGATTCCAATCTGCGGCAGAGCGCATGCAAACTTGTGCTTCACTTTGTATTCCTTGGCAAGGCACAAGTAGCAACAAGCTCCGTCTGTGATCAGAAGTGAAGCCATTTTGCCTTTTGATACATTTTGCCTGAGATATATCAAGGTGCGCGACGAATCCTCAAGAAAATAGCTCTGAATTCAAACTCCACTGTGTTAAAAGCGACCAAAACTTGCGCGGTAACAGTGCGTTGTTGCCGCGCCAAAAAGATTGAAAAGTCACCTTTGCCGTTCTGCCTTTTGCATCCTTTTGCCTTCAGAGGCTTGATGGACCTGTGGGGCGACGACTTCGAAGAGCTTTATTGTCGTTTGGAGGCCGAAGGCAAAGGTCGGAAGACCGTGAAGGCCCAGGAGTTGTTCTTCCGGATCACCGAAGCGCAGATGGAGACGGGGACACCTTACATGCTCTACAAGGAGAACAGAGAAACGACATGGGAAGGTTGGGCATGACAATGTTAAAACATTTTATATGTAACAGGTTTACCATGTCTTCGGGTGTTGGGGTGTTCGGGACACATAAAATTCACGAATCCGATTCTTGAGCTTCAGGACCATGCAAATCGAAAGTCCAACCAGCAAAATCTTGGCACCATCCACTGCAGCAGCTCACTTGACCAGAGGATGTTTGCTTGACTTGGGGCACGTTTAGTGTCACTCTCTTTTCACCAACAACGAACACATTAGCGGGCTTCAAAACTTGTCGGAAGAGGGGGGTGGTTCCTCTCCACGGGAAGTTAAGAGCATGTGGTGGCTCAATCTTGCAAAGCCGATTCACGTCATTCCCCAAGGCAACTTGTGCACCGAGATCATCGAGTACACCTCGCCCGATGAGGTGGCCGTTTGCAACTTGGCCTCGATCGCTTTGCCCAGCTTCGTCGAGAAGTCGACGGCGACTTACAATTTTCAAAGGCTCTACGAAGTCACCAAGGCGATCGGGAGCGACACGGATCTCCACGAGAGGTTTAGTCGACACTGGACACATTGAACATTCATTGCACAACTTGGCTTCTAAAAAGTTTGACACGTTGATCGTGAATGGGGCAGGGAATGTCGTTTTGTTCTCTCAATGTTTGTGATTTTCTTTGACAAACTGTGGTCCAGGTTGTGGAAAAGGCCTTCACCCCTAGCGTAAGTGAAAACTGAAAGACGAAAGTGGGTGACTCCCTGGGTGACCATCCGCGTGTCGTGAGGTGGTCACGAAGAATCTCAACAAGGTGATTGATCGAAACTACTACCCCTTGGAAGAAGCCCGACGCTCCAATATGCGTCACCGTCCAGTGGGCTTGGGAGTGCAAGGCTTGGCAGATGTCTTCTTGATGATGAAGATGCCTTTCGAGAGTGACGCTTGGGAGATTCGAAAGAACAAATTTCATTGGAAGAACACTTCTTTAAGTCCAGTGTTTGCCGTCGCATTCCTTTCCTTTGGAACAGGAAGTTCAAAATCTGTAGGGAAAGCACTCCATGGTGGACGATTCCGATTCCACTGGCTCATATGAGATGATGTGACCGTAAGAGTTCCTGAAAGAGTAACTCATGATACTCCACGCACTGGTACACTTGGAGGTCTATCGTTGTCACTGATACACCGGCACGCAAAGTATTGGCATAGCAGATCACAGCATAACAGCATGCGCGCCTTGCATGCCATTTGCCAACCTATCGACATAACAGCGTATCGGTGCGTGAGTGCTTGCCTATCAGACCCTTGCGTTTTTTGCGTATCGGTGTAGAACGGTTTGCAGGCATGGTTTCCATGCGCACACTGATGTGAACCCAGACTCTGCTGGAGTTTGTAACAGTTGCGTTTGTAACGCCATCCGAGCACAACCTCGCTCGGCTCGGCTCTTCTCAGGACGAGGCTCGTGAGTTGAACGAAGACATCTTCGAGACGATCTACTTCGCCGCCTGCGAGGCCTCCTGCGACCTGGCAAAGCTCCATGGGCCCTACGAGACCTATGAAGGACCCCGTTTGCGGGATGCTCCGAAGCGACATGAAATTCTTCAACGCTCAAAAATGCATTTGTTTTGTTTGTGGTTCTTGATTCTTCAAACTTGACAGAGATCAAGCAAATGTGAAGCACTGCCGCCCACGACAGGTAGCCCAGCCAGCAAAGGCCTCCTACAGTTTGACCTGTGGAACCGTACCCCACGCAGTGGACGTTGGGATTGGTCAGGACTCAAGGCAAAGATTGCCACTTGGAGTGACACGACCGCGAGCGTTTTCTTGCGCAACTGTCACACGGTGCTCGTGTTACCTCAGTGACTCTCCAAGACAGACTTCCTCTCTCTTCCTCTCTCTTTTGTTCATGTCATTCTTTCATATTCTTTCTCTATCTCTCTTTTCTTTTTCCTTTTAGAGACTCGTTTCTGAGGCTCAGTTTGGTCTGCGGAACTCGCTGTTGGTGGCACCGATGCCCACGGCCTCCACGGCGCAGATCTTATCCAACACCGATGCCTGGAAGAAGTCGCCACGGTTCCAACGAAACGTGCCATTTTTGGTTTTTACATGTTTTTACATTCAATTTTGATTAAACAAAGATTTAAAAAGGAGATTGAGATGTCATCGAGTCATGTTCTCTTTTCATTGAGGAGTCTTTCGAGCCCTATACCCAGAACTTGTACGTGCGACGAGTGCTCTCTGGAGAGTTTGTGCAGGCAGGTGATGGAGGTATCAATGAAGAAAGGAATGCAAGCAGGTTTACGCTCACATTGTTTGCCCCGTTTTTGCAAAAAGTTCCGGTGGCTACGCTCTCGATGTGGTACCGCACATGTTTTCGGACTAGGTGATTTTTCGTGGCAGGTGTAGTGCTTTGGAGGTGTCCCACTCAAATGTCCTGCCAGTTCTTGCTTCTAGTCTATTTTGGGTTCGCGGCCAATACGGGACACAGATCCAGTCAAGATCTTTCCACTCAAACTGCTTTGGGAGGAAGATGAAGGGAATTGGAAACCTGTTGCTTCAACGTGATACCGTGACCAAAGTGACTTTGAGGTCTTGGTAACACTTGGTAACTGAATAGTAACAAATTGCATCGCTACTAGTAGCAAGAAGCTACTATGGGTTTCCATTTGGACTATATTGGTGCACGAGAATCTAGTAGCTATTTGTTACTAGTAGCATGCACTTTGTTACTAGTAGCGATGCCAGGAGCCCCTAGTAGCGTCCTTGCTCCTAGTAGTAAGGCCAGGAGAGCCCCTAGTAGCTTCTTGTTACTAGTAGTATGGCCAGGAGCCCCTAGTAGCTTCTGGTTACTTGTAGTACGGCCAGGAGCCCCCAGTAGCGTCCTTGCTCCTAGTAGTATGGCCAGGAGCGCCTAGTAGCTTCTTGTTAGTAGTAGTGTGGCCAGGAGCCGCTAGTAGCTTCTTGTTACTAGTAGTATGGCCAGGAGCCCCTAGTAGCGTCCTTGCTCCTAGTAGTAGGGCCAGGAGCCCCTAGCTGCTTGTTACTAGTAGTATGGCCAGGAGCCCCTAGTAGCTTCTTGTTACTAGTAGTGTGGCCAGGAGCCCCTAGTAGCTTCTTGTTACTAGTAGTATGGCCAGGAGCCCCTAGTAGCGTCCTTGCTCCTAGTAGTAGGGCCAG